GTTGAAGTCCACTCATCTTAAAGTGGCCAAGTTTGGACAACACTGCTATAGGTATTTGATGTACTTCAAATTATCCAGCTGACAGTAATATCCCTCCAGATGGAACTTTTTTTAAAAGAAGGTATCTAGTTCTTCAGTATGAAGACTAGTAAGGATTCATCATAGCAAATTTAAATGTCATTAGGACTATTTTTTACTGCAATAAAACTCCATCTGCTAGAAAAATCAACAACTTTGAACAATGCAGAGACATTTTAGCTAGCAAAACAAGTCTTCTAAAAAAAACCTAGCTAGGAGAACTGTTCCTTTTTCACGTTTGGTGGATTTGTCCTCTTGTTGCTTTGAGATCAAAGGGAAGGGGTGACTGACTTTGATAGCCTGAGGCTGGTTTTCTGGATCAATGTCAATCTTATGTTTAAAATTAACCATTACACTTGGAACCCTTAAACTTACTGCATTTGTTTTTTTCTGTTATGTTCTTATGTTCTATGCTATGAGAGGAAATGTTGAGATTTCACAGTTAACATGTTTTATACAACCTTAAAATTTTAGTCCTTTTCCATAATGTTTATTACACATAAATGTTTGCATTTCTGAGCAATTTTCTTAATACAAATTATGAAAACACACTACAAATAATTAGAGGGCAAGGATGTTTTCTGTTGTTCTCATTCATATTGCTAATCCCCTCAACCTGATAGGGTTATCTTTCCAAATAATTCCAAATGTTTTAATTTACCCAATAAATTAAAGCTGTGGATTGTTATCTCAAATCATTTAGCCTTGGCTACTGGGAAATGTTTCAAACGCATTTCTTTGCTCATTTTTCTGGATGTTCACAGGAACTTCAAACTCTTTGCTCTTCCTGTCCCGTGGCCCAGTTGCTGCTACTCCCTTATCTCGGAATGGATGTCAAGTCAATCACGAGGCCCAAATTTTTCTATTTGACCTTCTCTTTAGCAATAGATCTTTATTCAGGTTCTCTACCGAAATGAGGTAGTTATTGTTGTCCCACGATAACCAATCATGTCAACAAGCTCAAATGTTCATCCACTGGGAGAAAGAAGTGCATGCTAATATGGGGCATTTTTTAAAATTTATTTATTTATTTATTTATTTATTTATTTATTTATTCAATGTATATGGCCGCCCATCTCAGACAAGTGATTCTGGGCAGCTAACAACAACAAAAAAACAAATTGGCAATTGGCAGCTGCGATAACAACAAAACACCATCACTACAAATACAGTAGTCTTTGTTTAGTGACTGCAATTGGTTTTGGTGAAATGGTTGCTAAGTGAACTGAGAGAGAGAGAGAGGTGAAGATCGCTGGTTGCTGTCATCTGAGATAAAGTTCTCTCATACAGTGTCCTGTGTCTTGACCCATTTTTTACCCTCTTTTTGCCCCCTCACAGGGTGGAGAGATTGCCTAAACAAGCTATCTCTTCCTGAGCTGCTTTTCTCCACAGTGCAGCATGTCCTTAAAAGGTGATAACTACAATTTAACAAGCTCATCTCTGTGGCCTTAATTAGCTGATTAGAACCCTCTGCTCCCTGAATCTGGCCACACTGAAGACTTTTGTTGTCATAAATATGCACATTATTAGGAAAATGAATTTTTATTACCATTTATTATCACTGTATTTGCAGAGAAATGCAGGTGTTTCACTTCCCTTACTGCCATAAGGTAGGTCATAATTGTGGCTCTAGCTCAGGTTTGGTTGGGCTCACTCCTTGTCTGCCAATGGTGCTCTAGGTATCTCTTCAACCATTTCATCTCCCTCAGCTTCTCAGTAATCCAAGGGAAGTTTTGGAGTCTGAGGGAAAAGAGAGGCTGAATGGGCACAATCCAATCCAAAGCCCTCATTGTTTTCTTGTTCCAGGCAGCAACCAATGCCTCAGTCAGACTGTACACCAAATCTTCAGGGACAACCCCAATCTCCTCTAGAACCCTACTGGGTCCATCAGTCATCTGGACTGGACCAATCAAATAGTTCCAGCCTCACTGCAGCAGGGGAGAGCACCAAACAACCCCAGGGCCAACAGAAAATTATCTGACTATGACCAGGGAGCAATAGCAGTCTCCCCCTACCTGCAAATCACATTGCCATTGCTCCAAGAAAACTAAATCTAGCATATGGCCATCGTTATGTGTCAGACTCTCAGTGACCTGAGTCAGACCCATGCTGGCTGTGAACTCCTGAATCACCTCTGACTCTGCTCCCAAGGAAGGCAGGTTGAAGTCTCCAAGGGCCATGAGTCTGGGGAATTCCACTGCCAACCTGGCCACTGATACAATAGTAAGGGTCCCAATTGACCCCTAGAGCCCAAGCTAACAAACAGAGTCTTGCTACCAACTATCTGTGGAGCAGTACCTCTGGACACCACCAGAGCATCTTGACTGACATAGCCACCCCCTTGCCCTGCCCTGGTTCTCAGTTGATGCCACACGTGAATCTGGGTGGGCACATCTCCAAGAGGGAATAAACCAGGCCCAACCAGGTCTTGGTGCAAAGTTTTAAGGTAAACAAAAATCACCCTTCCCAACTTGGTCCTTTGGTGCCTTCAAAGGTATTGCATTTCAACTTCCATAACTTTAGCTAACATGGAGGAGGCTGATCTAGAGCCAAACCATCACACACATTCCTTGCTTTATTGTAATTTTCTTATGAGCATAATCCTCAAGCTCTCATTTTGGTAACTCTAACTTTTAATGAAGAAACAACATTTTCTGGTAGTAAGATAACCAATAAACATGTGTTGCGAAAGAAATTTCATTCTCAGAAGACAGTATTGTTACTCCCTCCCCAACCTCCTAAAGTACAGTTAGTAAACTCTGAGACAATAAATTGGGGAGGAATAAAGCATCTTTAATGATTTATGCAAGGAATACTTTCTCTAATCCGTGGTGGAGTGTGCTTACACTCTTCAAAAATGTTACAAAGTTGTCAGAACATTAAGTTTGCTCTCTGCCCTGACTTCACCCTGTATGCTGCCATTCTTTTTGCCCCATAGGACATACAGAGGATTTTCATCCTACCTTTCTGTCAGCAGTGGCCCTATCAGCTGAGATACTGGAGACTTAAAAAAAAAAAGTTTCCTTAAAACATCCAAGGAAACAGCATTTGTTTTAAAGAATACAAGGTATAATTTATTGCAAGCATTTGCTTGATCTCCTGAATCTGTATATAACCTTTGTCCGTTTATATTGTCAGCAACTGGACATTTTTTTCATACTGCAGAGCTTGCCCCTGAGAATAAAAGGGTCATACAAACCTATAGTATGCAGTATGCAGGAAATATGAAGTACAAATTGTCAGAATCACCAGGTACTAATTATAACAATTTAAAAATGCAGTTGTGAGGAAGGAAGAAAGTAGGGAAGAGGTTAACCTGCATAAATACACAGTCTTCTTTTGATTTGATGAGTTTTAGAAGCATGAGGTTGCCACCAGAGGTATTTCCTGATAGGTTGGTGGTGAGTAGATAAAATATACAATGTTTATTTGAACATGGTGAACCTTGGTTTGTTTATCTTGTACATGAAACACATCCAGTAGATCATGTTGGGCACAGTCCAGATAAAATACAATACTTCTAATTAAATCTTCTTTGGTTTCAGTGATCAAGAGTTTAGTACCTGCCCCATTCCTGGATGAAATCAACAAGTTCTAAAGCTGATTTGGCTGGATCACAACCACTATCTGTTTCAAATTCATCCTTGAAAAGAAATATAGATATTACACAGATAATGAATTGAATACACTTTTCTGAATGATTTTTCTTCCCACATCTTTGCTCAGTAAATAGATCAAGGACTAATACTGCAGTTTGCTTGAAGATCCTCAGGCTGTCTTTGGAACAAAAACTAGCTGATGGCAGGAAAAAGTTGGGTGTTGCATCATTCACTTGTGACTCATCTCCATAACAATTCAAGCAAAGCAAAATAAGAGCATGAGCTGAAATGCTCTTGTTCTTTCTCTTGGAAGGAAGTTTGGCTTTGGTATGCTGCATATGAACCCTAGGAACTTAGAATGCCTTCAAGAAAGTCGTTCAAATCCTTAATGTCTTTGTACAGAGTTTAAATGTATTTCTTTTAAAACAATTCATTTACTTTTACATTTGCAGCTCTGGAAAATTTGCTCTTTCACATGTGTCATACAGATTAGAGAGAGAGCAGATACATACACATTTGTCTGCCACAGTTTCAAGCTGATTGTGATGTCCTAGAATGGAATGGACAAAGATCCCACCTACCATTAGGCAAAGGACAGTCCCTGCCTATTCTGCCTGACCCCTCCTAGCCTTTTCCCCTTCTAAGAGGCGAGATCTGTGTGTGCCATGTAACCACTAGTAGCCTTCTGCTTCTAGATGAAGGGACCCTGGCAGCAAGAAAGCGCCACCGGTCAGTTTCTGCACAAGGGAAGGAGAAGGGGCACCATCTTGTCCTT